TTTGTCCCAAGTTTGATTGTGTGTCTCATAAGACAAGACATCACACCTAGGGGTTAGTGCATTAGTGAGAAGGTGAAATGAAACTTAGAGTTTGCATTGCTATTTTAAAAGTCAAAATAGTATTGTATTTTTTTTCTTAGCTTTTAGGAAGTCTCTTGGAGAATAGTGAAATCCTGAATGAAGCAGACTATTCTTTATCATATCTATGTATATAAGTAGAAAATTTAACAGAAGTTCACAAAGTAACTTTTTAAACCAACCATTAAGTTTTGGGTCTTTATAGATGGAAGAAATTTTAGGATCAAGGGAGAACATACTCATACCTTAGCAAAGCATGAAATAAGCATGGCGAGCTTGTTTTGAATGACATGGATGGTAATAATACCAGTGTGTGATTTTCCCTAAGTAGCTTCCATGTGTTGAACAATGCACCTAGGCATTTTAAAATCAGATGGCTATGTCCTTTTCACTTTATTTATTTGCACTTTGATTTTCTAGGTGCCTTAACTTGCATTCAGTTTTTTCTCTTTTATTTTTTGGAAATCAAATTTTTTCCATATTGCCATACATGAAAGACACATTCTAAGAAAGTGACATGAAGATGAAGCCAAGAAGAATCCTTATTCAATGGCAGTATTGTCATAATCTTCAGCATCTGAACATCCTCACTGTATAGGTGTACTGATTAATTGAATAGTTCTTTAGCTTCAGTGTTACAAAACCTAGCTACATGCTTGATTGTCAATGCGGATTGTGCATGCCAGGTTGACGTACTCTAAAGAAGTTTGGACAGAATTCACTATTGATACTCTCTTGATGACTTTAGTTAAACAAATAAAATTGGAAGGTGAAAATTATATTCCCCAAGGTTTCCAATGAATAGAATTGGAAAATTTATGAAATTCATGAGTCATATTTTATATTTTTAAGGTAACATTAGTAGCATGGTAATGGTTACTTTGAATAATGCCTTGGGATTTAAGGAGTAATAATTGAAAAGGTTTTGAAAGGCTATGGTGAAAATACAAAATTCCAAGTGTTTCTTTAGGGAGCAAGTTGACCAGCAAGTTAGAGGGAATGAATGCTCTGTCACAAGGCAAAAACTATGTACAACTCCCTGGATTTGTTTTTGTATGTTGTAGGAGTAGGTATTTTTAAAAAATATTTCTTCTTCTAAATTGTAAAAAGCATTTTGTTTCAAATGTTTCCTTCCTAGCTTAAAAACTATTTGATTGGTTTAGGTTGAAAATGAAGAGGAGAAAGAATTTGCAAAAGCTCTTAGGAATGATGCATATGAGATTAGACCAATCTTAATGATTAAGCTTCTGCTATTTGACCCTGAGATACTCAGGTAACAAAAATCCTAGGGGCTGCTTCTCACAGGCTTTAAGCTATTTAATAATGACAGAAACCATGTATCTTAAGGTTTCAAAGCAGCATCTTTTTCTGTGAATGTGTTCTATGGGCATGAGATTGCCAAATTATTAAGCATCTAAGTAATGCTATAGGTGTTTGAGAATGACCAGTTCATAACTTGAGGGCATGCAAACTAAAGACTAGAGAAAATGTGAATCTAGAGTGATACTAGAAGTTCTGTCTCTCATTTAATGAACTGACTGAAACATAGACCTAAAACTCACTGGATTTCTATCCCTGGTCTCTTTCTAGTGATAATAAATATCTCTGATGGGCCCAGGTTTAGCCCTCTGGTATCCATAAAGTTTATCCTAACTAGATCAGAATAGTATCACCCTTTGGGCAACACTTAAAAGTTGCATTACAGAGAAAAAGTGAGAGAAAAAGAGAAGGAATGTAATTCTATTTGCATGTTTTCCCAGCGGGCTATCTATGCTAA